TTACTCTCTTGTAACACCTCTAATCTTCTGGCGCTCATATGACCTTATGCAGTTGCGAGCGCCGTAAAACCTCTACTAAAACCAAAAACAATGAAACCACACTTCTCCTATAGGTAGGGCAATGTTCACTTCTGGTGCAGGTCAAGATTTTTGGAAATCCCCGAAATCTGGCTTAACCCGCTTGTCCTTAAAAGCGACCAAGTACATAGTTCTATCTGACATTTTTGGTCGTTTTGAGTTACTAAGACCATACGGTCAGAAACCAATTAATATTCTGTCTGCTCTTTCAAAATCGTAAGACCATTTAAAATCATTATCAATTCAAGATATTTAAAAAAAACTGCATTCGAAAGAGAAGCTCAAAATGTTTATGTCAATTTTTTTTCAAAATTGGGTGCTGGGCTGATAAAACTTTGTAATTCTGCGGTTGCAACTTGTCTGTGTTTGCTTAGTGACTTAGTGTTGTATCTTGAGTTGAGTAATGTGTGAGAATATGAATAAACATTGACACGTCATGGTGAAGGAATGCACTGGCCGTTTTAAGATTTTGTTTGGTCATGTGTTTGTTTTGGGTTTATTTGTTTTTAGTTGTTGTTTTTAGTTTGTCTGTTTGTATTTGTTTTGTTATAGTGCGGTCAAAAGTTCGTGGCGTAATTTATCCTCAAATATCTCTTTAACGGGTGAATCAATGTCACAGTTTGTATCAATTTGTCTTAATTTAATCACATTTTCCTGCAACAACCGAGGATCGATGAAAAAACTGTTCTCCATAAATGTATATAAAATACTGTAAATCTTCATCACGCGGAAAAGAGAATTGTTCACAGCACTTCTCGGTCACATTTTGTAAACGCATATGGCCTACGTCACTGCTCGTCAATGACACTTTTTAGTGGCAAAACTTCTTACAAGAAATTAATTTTATAGTGAACACATTTTTTGCACTAAAGGTTCCCTAAACATACGTTCAATAATCATAATGTTGCGATTAGAAAAAAAAGCGACAGACTTATTTTTAAAGTGATATTGCCCGTGCTGTACACTTTTTAAAATCTGTAGAAACCGTCGACTGGGATTTTTAAAATTAGTATTTATTAATGAATTTTCTAGAATACCGTATACAAGAGTTTGAAAAAATTGGTCCCCTGTTGGGACGAATTGATATAAGTCGTTGTGCAAAAGTTGGAGAATATTTTTTCGATAGTTAAGGAGATATTTGACAATAAGCTGCGCCATGCATTTTTTACTGCACTATAGCTTGTTTTTTGTTGGGGGGTTTTCGGGGGGGGGGGGGTTAAAAAGGGGAGGAGGGGCTGAGGCTTTGTCTACTTGCAAGTATAGACGATTACAAATAAACATTGGTGTTGTGAATAACACAACAGTTTTAATGTGGGTACTTTATTATGTTGAGGGGAGTGCACTCACAACTAAAGAGGTAGAGATAAGCCATACGATCGAAAGATGAGATCATACTTGTCTTTGTTTGCTGTGTGTGTGTGTTGTTTGGGTTTTTTTCTGACGCTAGGTTATTGCGAGAACATGAATAAACATTACTACTGGGGAATGCATGGGCCCTTTCGGGATTTTGTTTGGTTATTTTTAGGGTGGTTTTAATGAGCGAGAGAGGAGCAGGGTGCTGAGGCTCTGCTGTTTGCAAGTACATAGACCTAGCCTACTAGAATAAACATACGCTTTAGGAATAGCACAACAGTTCTTACATGTGGGGTCTTTATGACGAGGGGTGTGTGATTACAGGCACAAATGTCTTTGATTGTTTGTTGTTTGGTTGCCGTTTGTTTGTTTGTTTGTTTGTTTGTTTGTTTGTTTGTTTGTTTGTTTGTTCTTGCTGCTGTTTGTTTGTTTGTTTGTTTGTTGTTGTTTGATGTTTGTTTGTTGTTGGTCGTTGCTGCTGCTGTTGTTGTTTGCTGTTGTTGTTCTATGTTTTTGTGTCTTTCTAGCCCGACATTTATAACGTTATTGCTCCGACTTTCGTGAACAAAGTGTGTCAATAGGACAAGGTGCTCCAGTTTCCTTGTATCCAGTCAGTGGCGTCACTTCTTGCGCTCTCACGCTTCTTGTATTTGTTACAGATGTTTTATTGTTTCGTATCTAGGCTAGCTAAGATTCCAACTTTTATAGTTTGGTGGATTGGAATTTGGATGATTTACCAGCAAGTGGTGTTTTAGAAGTAACATTATTTATATCTTCCGTTCAGTTATCCCAATTTCTTCATAGCAGTTCAATTTCTTCATATCATCATCATTGCCGCCTTTC